TGAGAAGACCGGTGGGCCCGGATCCCCTAGGTCACAACTAGGGTCTGGTGTACAAGATGTCACCATAGCCATCTCCCTTCATTCCACACATCTGGTTCAGGCCTAGGTAAGCAGGCCAAGTGTGGTGTTTCTAACCATCTCCCCCCACAAACTGGAAAGCCCAACAAGCCTGCGGTAAGAATGCCTGCAAGCAGCTGGCACGCTTACACAAGCTCTGGCCCCTCATTCACAGGGCCGGCTCTGTAGTACCTGCTTAAAAGCCACAGTAGAATGACAAAGCGGCCTGGGAGTCCCTGTAAAACAGAATTCTTGCAACAATTTTTCCCCTGGGAAGACGTCTTTCTTCTGTCGGGGGTGCCTACTGTTGGGGATGTCGGGGTGGTAACCAGCAGTGGTGGAGCAGAGGCCCAGGAGAGGAGGGCACAGACTTGCAGGGGTCAAGGCCACCAAAGGGGGCGGGAAAGTTTAGGATAGCAGCGCTCTGTAAGACAACACGCTCCGATCCCGGTCAAATCCGCTGAGCCGGATCCAGCCCTCTCGGCAGAACTGCTCAGAGGCCACCAATTTTCTGGCAAGTTGCAGGCTTTGATCCCTGAGGAACGCAGCCATCCCCTGGGCCATTAACCTACCTGGAAGGGCCTGCAAGGGATCAGAACCCCGTTTAGAACTGCAGAGAGGTTAAGGAAAAGGAATCTTGACATAGAGGTGGTAGGTCTAAATACTCAGAAAATAGCCACAGTGACTTCAACTTCTGTTTCCGCAGGTTTCCGGAATACAGGAGGAGCTGGGGAAAGGACTAGCATTTGAAAGCACCTACTCTGTACTGCGCTGTAACTGCAGCACATCATTTGACCTTCCCGACGTGCTGGGGACAGGTATTCCTCCACTCATACCTGAGACCAAAGGTCAGAAAGGTGAAGTCACTCGCCCAAGGGCTAATGGAGAACAATGGCAGAAAGACAGCCCAACAAACATGATGGAATTAATGGAGTTCGCGTCTGCTTTCTCACCTGTTAAGTGCAGACGATCCCTTTTTTCTGTGGAGATTTAGAAGAGGTGACGTGTGTAACGTGCCCAGCGCCTGGCTGAGCACACGGGGCGCCAGATGACCAGCTAATCCTGAGGCAGCCTGATGGGCCCAAGGGAGCCGGGAGGACTCTTGGCCCTTGCCCCCTTTCTCAAGCCCAAAAAGGAAGGTGAGCAGAGGTATGAGCGCGAGGCTAGGGCTGGTTCAGTCCTTGCATCACATGACCGTAGTCATGTGATAGTTACTTATTGTTACTTACCCCTTCTATAGTTCAGCTACTCAACTGTGAACAAATGAATGATAGGAGGCATATGCCTTATGGGGGGGTGGGGGCATGAGGGTCAGGTAAGATTTCGGTCCCTGATGCGGCTCTGGAGGTGACGTCCCAGTTTTTTCTCACTTAAAAAAAAAATCGTTAACAATTTATTCACGGTGTCACAACAAGTAAATACACACACACTGTCCTGGCAGAGAATAACTTGTTTTCTTAATTCAGTTCTATTTCAGAGCAACCCAGTTAGTCCTTTACCATCAAACTTCTTGAAAACATGTTTTACGTTGAATGTTCTTACTTCCTCCATGCTGGCTCTTCACCCCGCTATAATAATCTATAATCTTTATGCCTCTTGTACTTTAAACAGCTTTCACGTTCTATATTAATCTCTTAATTACTAATCTTTACGAATTCTCTCCTCTTCCTTTCCAATTTCCAGAATCTCCTGTTGTTTTTCACCCCTGCCTGTGGCTTGGAAGAGTTAAAACTAAAAGGGCCCCTCGACATGTCTTTTTAAGGCCCCTACTCGGTTCTCTAGAGAGGAGCTGAGGCCTTCCTCTGTGACCCTTAAAAGACCCCACACTTTATTTTCTCCAGAGGACCGTCACTTCTTAGCATCCAAAGAGTCCACATGGAAGGGAAAGTGGGCCAAACGTCACTCTGAGGAGACCGGGGGTCTTGCCGTCTTAACCCTTGTTTGCAGTGAGAAACGGTCTACCAAACTCCACACATACCCACCCGAGGTTCCGCAGGAATTGGTGGAAAATACCTCACAAGCAGCGCAGCTGTTCCCTCTGAGGAGCACGCGTGGGGGAGGCCAGGCCTGGGAAGAGGGGGTGTTCCCGGGGCTGTGACACACAGCATTCCTTTCCCTTGAAGCATCCAAGCCCGAGAAGCTGCAGTCTCCCCCAGGGACTATGACATAGCCACGGCCGGGAAGGGCCTCACCAAAACAGCAGCGTCCACGCGTCCTTCTCCAGAGGAAACCCCTTCCCAGCCTGTGTGCGAGAACTCTCGCATGTGCCAAGGCTCTACCGCCCCTCCCACCCTTCTGTCAGACAAATACCCCAAAGTCAGCGGTCTGATAGGATGTGTTTATATTTACATGGTACATCTTAAAGCAATGGCTACATTGGTCATACATATTAGAAACCATAAAAAAAAGTTAAGAACTAAAATGTACATCATACACTTGTATATATATTTTTTACACAGAGGTAAAAAGGCTTATTATAAAAAAATCAATACAACAGGTTTTTTTTTAGTATACAGGTGAAGAATGAATTATGCTTCAGGCACTTTAATTTGTTAATGTGAGCAAATAGCTGGGGGGTGGGGGGTGGTCAGAGGAAGCTTCCAAACAAATCTTTTGGTTAATGTTTTGTTACCACAGATACAAAAATAAAATCTGAATAATTTCTCTCAAATGATTGACGTCAGTATGGCAAAGCTGACTGGGAAAATACTACACACTGTTCAGCTGCAGTGTGGCAATTAGAAACGTATTTACATAAATGTCCCCATGGCTGTCCTTGTGCCCTTAACCGCTGCCTTCACAAACCAAAACGTATATGTGAAGTAAGATTCACTAGCATAACTCTTCAAAAGGGTGGAAAAGGACAAGGGGTAAAAAAGATAGAAACAACAAGTAAATAGAGACTACAAACAAAAAGTGGCGGGGACATGTGTATTCTTACTGAAATAAATAGGGGCACTCGGAACTGAGGTCTAACAAAACATACATTAGTGTTGTGCTTTGTAGAGAGGAGACCTTGAGAAAGGCCCTGAGGAAATACCTCAGGATTGGAGAGTGGGGGGCAATGGCCTCTCGACAGCATCTGGAGGCTGGCTGAAGGTTTTCTAGATGTTTTCCAGACTGGGAAGCAGTTCTTTTTTCTTCCATCACCAGACTGACAGCTCTCTGCAACTTTTCCAAACTGGAAGGCCACACCATTCACTCCAACATATGAAAATGTCTACCAACTAACTCGTAAGCACACTGGGTATTTACATCGACGATCTGACTAAAGAAAGGCGGCGGGTGCTCAGATGAGCTGAAAATGTTCCATGAAGGTAAGCATGGCTGGTACTTTCCCAATATGATTGGCAGACTGGAAAAAAGTCTCTTTCCTTGAAGACTGATGCCCTGTGTGCAACAGAGAAGGGATGGGGGGAAGTGGAGACACAGACAGCAGGCTGTGCCCTGAGCTGGCAACTACCACAGGAAGATCATGGCAGGAAGAATGGCCAACTTTGACAAGCCTGTCCCTTATGGTCTCCATGACGTTCTGATTGTACTATGCTAGGTACCACTCACTCTTCACTTTTCTTTCTGCGACAAGATTTGGCTACTCCTTGCAATAGACTAGAAAAATACTCTTTTCCAGCTAATTAGAAGCCTCCTACATGGCAAGGTGAAGGTAGACCCAGACTGCTGACCTAACCATCTGTGCACCCAAACTGGCAAGTCTGGGTTTTTGAGATGCAGGAGAAAGACACTTAGGCATTGGAAGGGTTTTTACATATGGCCTTGTTTTTTTCCCCCAAGTATAAACAAAGCATTTGGTGATGTGAGATTCAGTCCAGGATGAAAACAAGAACAGAAACCCACAAACAAAATGCAACCCACCACTCTTCATATTTATGACATTTAAAATTTCCCCCCATTAAGAGAAAATAGCCAGTGGGGGTGTGGGAGGAAGCTCCTTCTAATTTTCTTTACCACAACTTCAGTGTTTCTCAACTGGAACTCTTTGGAGAACACTGGTTTGTGTGTGAATAGTCTATCTTGTTTGCAAAACAATGAGCAGAACTTCATTAGTGTTTTCTTCTAATATTGCTAAATTTTTAGAAGTGGTGGTGACACAGTTTTAAAAAGTTCTACTTTAGGGGTAACTGGGGAAGCTCAGACAAACCTGAAATCCCCTTTTTCTACCCCTGGTCTAAGAGGATGCAATGCAGTTTATGGAATTTCCTGATTCACACAAGTTAATCTGAAGTTAAGGCTCAATTCTCACTTTTGTGGGTGAATGTTTTCCATCAGTAAATAATTGTCAGGTTTTTAGGGGGAGGGCACAGGAAATGTTTATGGGCTCCAAATAGAAACTGCAGCTTACTTGGCAAATTTGGGTTTACAAAAGTTAAAGCGACCTTGTTTTGTGGTAGACGTTTGTTAACTAGCTCACCTCCTATACATAATCTGACTGCAGGTTACAATACTTCTGGTAGGGTTTCATCATTCTGACGTTACCTATCTGCAGGAATCCGCTGCTCCTTAGCAACCGGCAAGCCGACCCATGAGAAAGATCTCCTAGAAAACCAACTACAAAACCCACCCCAAATCAGCAGTTCCGACTGCAGGTGCCTCTGCGCTGGAAGAGGTGGGTAGGAAAGACAAGAAATCAACACATGTATAAGACAGTTAGCTTGATTACAGATTGGTAATAGTACACAAGTGTCTGTGCGGAGGTTCCTTTCCTTAGAACACCGTGTGCCTGCGTGTATGGGTGTGTGGTTGACGCAGAGTGGGTGGCTGGTGGGGGCTGCGTGGGGAGAGGGGAAAGTGCAGAGTTCACCAGGGGGGCTCCCCAGGCTGGAATAGCGCCTCAAGGTACCAGGGAGCAAGAAAGAAGGTGAGAGTATGTCAGAGACAAGTTCCCCTGTGGCTGTGGGAGGAGGAAAGGAGGGAGGGAAACTGAGTCACACGGCCGCTTTGTGCTTCCCCCCGCAGCACCTGCACATCACCCCGCAGTGGTAGCAGGCCCGCAGGGGCAGGTAACAGCACATACAGGGGGCCAGGAAAGACAAGGCAATAAGAGCCATCCACCGGAGGCAAAACTTCTCGTCGCTAGTATCGCACGAGCACGGGTCTGTATAGTCTCCCTCGGGGTCCGACATACAGTGATAGAGCATGCTGTCCGCACACCACATACAGCTCACCCGGCGGATGCAAGTTCTCACAGAGTCGGGCGCGTCCTGACAGTGGCCCCTCCGGTTTTCCTCGTGGTTGAACATGTCCCTGCAGTACTCGCACCGGGAGCGCTCGCCGTCCTCCTTCCGCCTCCGGGACTTGCCCCGGGACGGCTGGGTCTTGATCACGCCGCCCCCGCGCCCTTTGGGGTCCTCGCCGAGGCCGAAGTCCGAGGAGTCCACGTAGGGGTAATTGTAGTCGTGCTTGGGGACCTCGCCCTTGGCGAACCGCACGTAGGAGTCGGCGTCCTCCGAGGCGTCGGGGGATTTGCCCCGCACTGGTGCGTGCCGGTAGTCCTCGTAGCCGGTCAGCCAGATCTTCTCCCTGGGGTTGATGCGCACAATCTCCTCGTCGTCGTCTGGGAAGCTCACCTGGCGGTAAGGCCTTGGCATCGGCTGCCCGGGTAAAAGGAGACATGGTTGTATAGCCGCCCCGAAAAGAGAAAAAACGCTCCACTGGGTACCTTTCGCCTTGACGAAGACATTTCTGGAAGAAACTCACTGCTCCTATAACTACTGAACATCCCCTGGGTTGAAGGTGTATTTCAAATTGTGATCCTTGATCCATTCCTGGGTCAGGAGATCTTTTTTCCCTTTTGTGGAAGTACTACCATAGAGGGGGGAAAGTGTGATGGGAAAAAATGCACTCTGAATTTTCGACAGCTAAACACACCTAGCTCAAGAAGCAGAACTTGAGAGACCTCCCTAGGACACTGCCCCCCTCCCTTGAGTTCCCTTCTACGCCTCAGGGGTGGGAGGACCACCATCCTGATTTCTAACAGATTAGTTTCACCTGTTATTGTACAGTGTGTTCTTTTCTAAGACCTGCTTTTTTCCCAATGAAACAAAAATACTGGAGTGCACTGCATGTTACAAGGGTAGCATATGTGGGTTATCTGTGTGTAGGGAATATCTGCATTCCAGGTCACAATACAAGATGCATTTTGCACCGTGGGTCATGGTCAAAATAGCAAAAAGGGATACCAGCAGCTATGATACAAGTACCTTGTCATCTGGTTGGAAAATATAGAAAGGGTAGGAGTGCCGATCTGGAGGCGGACTGCCTGGGTTTGAATCCCACCAGGATCTCACAGATGGTCAAACGCAAGCTGGAATGTGAGCTCAGGCAAGCTGGACCCTAGAGCCATGCTCCCTTGCCTTCAAAGCCCCCAGATCTGCATTCTCCCCCCCGGGTGACACCGGCATCTCTGTGGGTCGGTAAGGCTGCCTCCCCCGGAGCACCCTCGTTGTGGCAGTGTGAGATCTTCTACTCCTGAGGTCCTCTGAACGGCTCTGAGGGAGCCCACCAAAGTAAAGCCGCAGACTCAGATTCTCTCTCAGCACAGGGCTACCTCGAGAACGACGAGAATCTGTGCAGCGTGCACACACAACTGTCACACAGGATGCGGCTGACACCTGTTGCCATTACCATGATTAGAATATTGCCATAGAATTTATCTCATGGCAATTACATTTATCCATCACTCCCACCAGACTGTGAGCTCCTAGAGGGCAGGGGCCATGCCTCACACATGTTGCCTAATTCTTGTTAGATTCTTGACAGTTTCACAGAAAATCACAATCTTAGATTAATAAAAACAAATCTTGGGAGCAGAAAGAGATTTTGCTAATTATTTTGTGAAGTAAGGTGATTCAAAGGGTCAATTCCCCTCTCTAGCTACCATAATGTGATTTTGTCTTATATATATATATATATATATATATATATATATATATATATAATATAAATGTTTATTTATGAGAGAGCGGGAGAGGGGCAGAGAGGGAGACAGAGGATCTGAAGCGGGCTCTGTGCTGAGAGCCCGATGCAGGGCTTGAACCCACAAACCGTGAGACCATGACTTGAGCCCAAGTCGGATGCTTAACTGACTGAGCCACCCAGGCACCTCTGCCCCTCTCCTGCTTGTGTTCTATCTCTCAAAAATACATAAACGTTAAAAAAAATTTTTTTTAATGCCAAAATATTAGGAAGCACACAAAATTTTTTAGAGTCTTATAAATCTAGCTTTATGTTAAAAAAACAAAACAAAACAAACTAAACCAAAACAACCCTGTGCTCCTTTTTTCTTTCCAAAGCACACCGGTGGCCACCTCACCCCCATAGGCACCAGTCCATGCCCCACAGTTTGGGAGCCTACTCTGCCAAACAGCCGCTTGGTAAATATTTGTTGAATCACTGAATGCCAGACTCCAGCTACATCCCCCAAGCAAGCCTGGGCCTGTAACCCGCGATGCCAGGGTGCCTGAGCCAAGCGGACAGCATTCTTTAGTCCCGATCCTGGCTCTGGGCTTTCACACAAAGCCAGGAAGCCTTCTGGACAGAGGAACTCGGGAGATAGCATAGCCCCGTGGAGAACACACGCCTGCATTTGAGACTTGTTCCATCAAGGACTTTCTCTCTCTAAACCTCAGCCTTCTCTTCCATCAACCGGGGAGGCCCAGGACCTGCCCTGTGGGATAATTTGTGAGGACTCAATGAGATTAAGCACACGGAAGGTTTAGCAAGGGGTCTGGCACACAGAAAACTAAGGACGAGCTGCCGTCACCACCGTCAATATGGGGAACAGAGAAGGCCTGGGCTTGAGCAGCGGGCTACATGGAAGGAGGAGGAGGCTGTTCCAGATCAGGAACCATCCACCCCATGCCCTCAAAGGAACCAGACTGCCGCGCACCTGTTCGAGGTGATAGTGGTCCGTGGGGTATGGGTCATGGAGGTGGCCCAGGGTGTAAATCCTCCGGTGCTCACAGGATGTGGGAGAGGAGATTGTCCGAGTAGGTTGTTCCCTCTTCTGGGAGGAATTAGAAGAACTGTCTGTAGCTGTCTGTTTAGAGGGAGGTAACCAAGAGTTAATTAAAATGAAAACAAAAACCAAGCCCACATACCAAAACCTAACACGCCGTCTACCCCCCACTCTGGTGTCTTGCCGGACTTCCCGAAATCTGGAGTTTATCTTGGCTGTGGGAAGCACCAGGACCCCTGAAGGGCCAGATTGTCTAAACATGATGTGGCTGGCTCAAGGGGCAGAGAAAGCCAGCCACCAAGACCCTGGAAAAGTTGGGTTTGTTTTCTCAAATGTGGGAGCAGCCACCAGGCTTTGGGGAAAGGGCTCACTACATCAGGCCTCCTGTGGGTACATCCCAGTTTGATCAAGAACGGTTACACCACTGGTAGCCCTGGCTGCAAGGGACTCTGGTGAGCAGAGGAGATGCATATAAGCCAAGATCAAACCCAAATGTTTCTGTGCAGAGCTGATCCTGGCAAAATGTCAGAAATAAGGCTACCTCAAGGGTATCGTAGGCACTGGCTTTCCAGGAAGAGATGTTGTAATCTTTGGGTTGAAGGCAAGCCTTGAGGGTCACTGGAAGCTGGAAGTGACAGAGACAGCTGCACAGAGAATGCAGGCCCGTCTCTTTTGGACCTGAGTGCAGAACTCCTTTCCTGGTAGAGACGAGTTCAGATTGGATCCTCTGTGACAGGGTCTTTGGAAGGTGATGGATCTGATGGACGGTGGCCACCACCTTCAAAACCAAGAATCCTCAGAACCACCCACCCGCCCTCTGCATCCTCAGAGTCACAGATCCTTTTCTTCCCCAAACCAATGAAAAGGTTTTCCTTATATCTAGGTGTCCTATTTTTGGCAAGTATCGACGAACTCCTTCCTGGCTCTCATTTCTCAATCTTCTATTCCCCTTGTCTCATTTGCTTATTTCTTTTTTTACACCCTCTCCCCCAACTTATTGAGTAACGAATGCCCAGAAAAATGGGACAAGTATTTAGGACAAAGACACCCGTATTCCCATTATGCAGCACAACTACGTTAATTTTAAAAACTTAGTGGACATGTGTGGCATCCCTTTGGCAACCCAACCCTCCTGGTTTTTTTTCTCCAATTCTGTTTGGTCCAAGTGAGACAGAGCTGATGCCTGTTTCTGATCCCTCCATCCAGAGTGACTAATTCAGGTATGGCTACACGGTCCTCTCTGAGGTTAATACGGAGATTTTTCACGGAGAGGTCAGAAAAGATGCCGTCTTTTTCTCTGAAGATCTAAGGGTCCTAAAAGCCTGGAATCCTGGCCAGGGCACAGGGAAAGCACCTTCCAGGGAGGAAGTGAAGCAAAACTAAGAGAAGGCAGCCCCTCCACCCCCTCCCAGAGCCATTTGAGCTTGGATCCAGTCGAAGCTGCAGCCTGCGATCTACCCTAGGGTGTCCCAATGGTGTGGGCCGATTCCCTTTGGTAACTTAAGCCCAGATGCGTGGGATTCATCACTTGGGTGTGCTTTCCCCTCACTTTTGGCTCCTCCGTGGCAGTTCGCCCGCATCCCACTCCTGCCTGTGTCCGGCCCTCACTCCTCTCCACAGCAGTGCAAGAGGAACCGGGCACGCAGCGTCTGCTCGTTCTCTGCTCTGCCTCTTGGGAGCCACCTGCCTGGCAAACAGCAAGTACTGGCAACCACTCTGGGGACTGTGCGGCCTGCTTGGAGGCCAAGGGCCAACCCGCTGTGGGAGGCTTTGGAGGTCCAGCGCCCATGCCTGGTGGGGCAGGTCTGTTTGATCGAGAGGTCCCAGCCCGAGACGTCTGCTTCCCGCAGATGTCAGCCAGGACTGGCATCCTCACTCATTAAGGGTCTCCTGTCTTTTTTTTCCCCTCAGTAGTTCAGAACTTGGGGAAGAATTGCTATTTACTCCTCAAATCCCAGCAACTGAAAGAAACCAAACGGACGCGCAAGGAGTTTTGACTCTCTTCTGGAGTCTGTCTTGTCTTCGACCTCCCGACCCGCTCTTTCTTCACGTCTTCAGAGGTACCGACTGAACACACAGGGGAGGGGGTTGTGGACCAGACAGAACAATAAAGCAAAGAGCTCTTAGTCATCTCAGACCGTGCAAGTGCATGCAGTGTGCCAGACCCTGGCGACACGGGGGCACGGGTACAGGTGGAATACTGTCTCCACGTCACAGGCCGCAAAACAGACTCTGAGAGACCATGGCGGGGCAGCCACTGCAGAGCAGGACTGAAATGCGGCCCCTGATCAGCAAGCCCAGTGGGATTTCAGGACACAACACCACAGCTTCTCAAGTTCACACAAGTCTTTTCCAATGCCTACTCTGAGAGGTGTTTTACTGTGATTAACACAAGTACAATTTCTCCAAGTAAGAAGGTGCACCCTGCTTTACACAAACCCAGGAGATAAGGGGATGGATGGGGTCTCATAATACAAAGTTTCTGAAGATCTCAATAAACACTTCCTGAATGAGTAGGTAAGGGCCCTTCAGGGTGATTCAAATCTCAAGAGTTAAATTCTTAACCAGCGCCCCAAACGACAGTCATCTCTTACGTCAGAAGCTACCCTCGTATCGAACACTGTAATATGCACTCGGCATCGTGGTCACCTCTGTGTTAATCATCCGTTCACCCTCCTCCACCTGTTTGCTGTGAACTATGTCCAGGTTAACAATGTGTAGAAAGTCATTCTGAGAAATGAGGCGTGCCCATGTTTTCCCAGTGTTCATTAGCTAACCAGATATGCCACCTTCTGATGCACCCAGCCTACCTCCCTAACCCTGAACAGCCTCTTCCCACTGCACAATCAAGTGCAAAGCTTCCTGGACATTATCAGAGAACGTGAGAATGAGCAAAGCCGTTAAATATCTCCTAATCTAATGGCGAATTCGTACGAGGGAGCAAGAAGGTTAGAAAGCTTTGAAGTGTGTCCACAGTTCACTGCCTACTGCAGGCGGAGCTGACACCCATGCTTGGACTGCTCTGGGTGTGTCTGGACTCTGAGCAGGAGAGCATGCAAGAGAGCCTCCATTAAAGCCAAGGCTTATTCCACATCTGTACTATCAGACAAATCTTGCCATGCAGTGTGACCTACAAACAAAAGCAGTGAACTAGCAGGGCATCTCCAAGAAACAAGGGGGAAAAATCTTTTTTCCACATGCACTTCTTCTTTTATTAATCTTTTTTTAAAAAGGAAATATGAACTTAAAAAATTTTATTTATTTATTTATGGAGAGAGAGAGAGAGAGAGAGAGAACGAGCACAAGGGGTAGAAAGAGAGGGAGAGAGGGTGGAGCACGGGCAGGCTTCAGCTCACCCGATGCGGGGCTAGAACTCACGAACTGTGAGATCATGACCTGAGCTGAAGTCAGATGCTTAACTGACTGAACCACCCAGGTGCCCTATTAAGTAATCTCTATACCCAATGTGGGGCTTGAACTCACGACCCTGAGATCAAATGTCGCCCGTTCTACCAACTGAGGCAGCCAGGCTCCCCGTCCACTTGTACTTCTGAACAGACTCTCCCATAAGTCTCCTTGTGGCTTCCACACACACTGGAGAAAAGCCACCCACCTAAGCTATGCACACACACTCTCTCAAGCAAGACTCCTGAACATCTGTTATTTGTATGCACAAGCTAATGACACCTACCAACCTACCAATCTGACAGCTTCACCTTCAACTCATAAAGACTCTTGGGGCACCTGGGTGGTTCAGTCGGTTAAGCGTCCGACTTCAGCTCAGGTCATGATCTCGCAGTCCGTTGAGTTCGAGCCCCACATCAGCGTCGGGCTCTGTGCTGACAGCTCAGAGCCTGGACCCTGTTTCAGATTCTGTGTCTCCCTCTTTCTCTGACCCTCCCCCATTCATGCTATGCCTGTCTCAAAAATAAATAAACGTTAAAAAAAAAATTTAACAAAGACTCTGATGTGCTTTAAACTCACCTTGCTCTCTAGGGGTTGTCTCTGTTGTGGGTTTGAACTCAAGAAGAAAAAATGTGGAGGCTTCAACAGTAGGCTTCCCCACATCCAGGGACAGAGAGCCTTCTGTCCCACCCACTGTGGACGGAGAGGGCAGGCGCTGCTGTGGACCTGGTGGGGGGGGGGGTCCTATGCAACATGATACAGCGAGCATAACCACTGCCACCTGCAAATGTAGCCTCCAGAAAATCCTGCCTCTGGGTCTGGGTTGGACGCTGAATCAGTGTCAATGCCCATTATTAAAAAGATGTTCCATTAAGAAGTTTGCAACCTAATATGAGGCACTGAATAATAGAAATGCAATGGAGTATTCGAACGCTAAATAATAAGGACTCAGCTCAGGAAGACTGGATGTGAATTGTTCTCTAATTAAAAAGTCATGCTGAATTTGTTCAAAGGAACAAGGTTTGTGGGGCCTGGTTCTAAAGCCCTCTAACAAGGCAGAAAGCTGAGATGACTTTGATAAGGAAGAAACTTGAAGGAACAGGGAGGTGAGAAAAGGAAGGAAGGGAGGATGGGAGCAAGAGTCAGAGGGTACTGAGATGAGCGGGTACTGCCAACCTTAAAATCAGGAAAATACAGACACGAGTGGCCTGATGGAATCCACCTTTGATAGTAAAGGCACCCATTCCTTGCCTGGAAGTTTCTTGGGTTTGGGCTGGGTGCTCTGTAGGATGTGGGTTCAGACATAACAGGGGGACACGGGCAGGGGCAAGGCCAGGTGGCTTCCCTTCTAGATGGGTGGACAAGTCAGAACTAGGCTCAGAGGAAGAGAAAAAGAGGTTCAAGTTTACCAGTGAACATCTAATAAAATTCTTCAAAAAGAGCAAGCTTCCAATGGCCAGACTCTGAAGACCTACTTAGTCAGTTATTTCCCATAATTCCCCAGAATTTTAACAACAAATGAGAGAAAAACACCAGAGCTTCAAAAGTTGGCACAGACTTTCCTTTTGCATAGCTGGCTTTAATGTTATGATATCTGAAAATAAATCAAAATCCGAAGTGCAAAAGATGCTGGGAGGAGGCTACCTGTTTCCCCAAGGTCAATGCTGCCTGGTTTG